CAATCTTCCTTATCAAATAGAAAGAAATTCAAGCATGCTTTCCCCAAAGACTGTCTTCAAGCATAACCAAAAAAAAAACCCACAAACTCAAGAACACACGGAGATCAAAACCCATAATGAAAACAAGCAAGACTAAACCCAACAAAGAAATCTAAACATACAAACATTCTGTTCAAGCATGCTACAAATCTTGCCGTGAAGCCAGTAAAACTGGCCCATGCCAGGCAAAGCTTCATCTAATGGCAAAGGCTTATTCTCGCCATCCAGCATTTTCAGCCACTGTAAGCCATATCATATCGTGTCATAAACCAGTCAAGAATCACAACCAATACTAAACAACACATAGAATCAAAGAGAAAACGTGAACTGGGGGAAAATAGAAGATTAATCAATTAGGAAAGGCCAAAAAAAAAAAGGCATTGAAGACATGCTCCCTTCATACCACATATCAAGCATCTTATAAAAACTTGGCCCGATTTAAAATATAAAACATTGAATAATTTTTATATTTATTTTTTTAATTATATCCTTTTTTCATTTATTATTTTTCTTGAAGAAAATTATATATTAAAATTTTAATTATTATTATCAAGGCTCTTATATAAAATATTCAGTGAGAATATAAATAAAAAGATGTGGTCAAATAATGATCATTGAAGTTAAACCCTACTGACAAGATAAAATTGTACTAAATTAAAAAAATATTGAGGCAACATTGCATCAACAAAACTTAAAGATATCGGGTGTACTTGTATGAAAATTTAGAAAATAGATCTGTATATTAACTCTAACATTAATCAATCCTATTTAAAGAGAGAGAAGGGGGAAAAATCTAAATAATCAGTTTTGCTTACATTTGCAATTAGCGGTGGTGGGCTCCTCCCATGGACCCCACGTCACGAAATCATATTATGAAATTGATTACACACTGTAAATCCATATCCCCATTTGTTGCCTTATTTCTCCCCCCAAATTTAATTTTATTAGAATTTAATAATTTCCTCCATGATGTTGACGTCATTCTCAATCCCCCCCCCTACTCTGGATTGTTCAATACTTAGGCCCATAAATAAATAGTAACTTTTACCCAAATTCACTCGCTGCAGCGAAATGAACAAAGTGGTCCTCCTAGCAATGAATAATTCACAATAACAGTGCGCTAAACAAGTAGGCTCGAGCGTTGTCTCGTGATTCCGTGGGTTATAACCAATGAGCGTAGAATCTGATTCAATAATGCGCTGCGTGGTTACCGAATTGTTTTTTACCAAACCAGTCCCGTGGGGAGTGAAAGGCCCCCTTGCATCGATTTGACTGATCTTGTTTGGCAATGGGGCATTGGATTGTAAGTACGTGGGATTTGGGTTGACCCCTTTGGGAACGAGTTTGACCACAGAACCCTGGATCAAACCACTTTTTTGGAAGAAGACCGGGTGGACCCCACTCGTCCGCCTTCTTTTGATTTCAGTGCAGGGCCGTATCACTTGGGACTTAAAATGAGACAGCGCATTCACAACACCAATGTGCGTGTGAATGGTGCGATTCTTCAAATCAACTTTATGGAGTGGAGTGGTCAGTATCTCAGTGGACTTGTTGGAGGGTCCCAGTAGTGACGTGGTCCATCTTTCTTTGTCTCTTTAGAAGACCACAGCTTTACTCTCCAGTTTTCAGTCCGTTTCAAGATAATCTCAGCGTTTGGTGGGAAAAAAAAACACAAGAAAAATGAGAAATCATTTTTTTTAAAATTACATATAAATTCCACTCAAAATATTTAATTAATTTCAGGTTAATTAATAGTTAAGTTTTAAAAATGATAATAAGTTATCAATGAATCTGAAAATAATTAATTATTTTGGATAAAATTTTAAAATAATTCTCCCTTTGTTTTTTTTTTGGTTGATGAATGCCATCTTAAGTTGTTACCATCTAGGTATCTATAGAAATAGGTTTTTTTACCAATATACTGTAAACAGTAAAATTTTTTATCAAAATGCTACATCATGAAAATTATTTACCCAAATGCTACATCAAAAATCATTTATATCGAGAACGAGTTTGTGAATATGAAGAAATCATTCAAGCAAATAATGATTTTATAATCAAAAATTATTTTTTTAATAAATGAAAAGTGAAATCGTTCATTGGGTGAACGATTTTAGTTTTTTTTTATTGACATGATATTTTATTCACCATTAATCGTGAGAATATTTGCTTTTCCTTCTTGCTTTGCTTTTCTTGTGTGATTCATTTAAGTATAAGATAGATGGCCACTTGCTATTATTAAAGCTCCTTCGACACTTGAAGAGTTTGATAGAATATTTAAGTACCTAAAATGATATTGAAGACATACCTACAATAGATCCAACATATTAGTAGTGATATTGGGTATACGATAAGTTTTTCACTTTCTTCCAATAATATTATTAAGAAAAATTGGGTGAGTTGAAAAGTGATGATGATAAGGGTGGTACACAATGGGACTCAAATTGAATAGGATTTGGAGATGTGAAAGAAGGTGGTGATAATAATAGGCTAGTATGTAATGACATTGACTAAAATTTTGAGACTCTTGTTTCCTTACATTTTTATTTTCAATCGGTGGTTGGATAGATAAATAGCTACCGCATCATTTGCTCAGTGTATCTCAAGAAATTGTAGATGAGGCAACTTAATTCTTAGCAGAACATGTTGAGGGTTCATGTTAACTTGTTGTTCTCTCATTACAAATAAGATGTTGCATTGATCGTGAGCAACCCTATCTCGATAATCAATATAATGAGAGCATTTTGATTGAGAATTAATCATTAGCCAATATAAATCTTTTGTTGTGTCAACCTAAAATAAACAATAAGACATTATTACATTATAATAATTTGTTTATAAAGAAAAAATTGTATTAGTGGAAGAAGGTGAAAAACTTACCATCTATCCAATATTACTACTAATATGTTGGATTCATTGTTGGGTATATCTTCAATACCATTACATGTACTCAAATGTTTTATCAAACTCGAAGGCAGGAGGAGCATTAACAATAATAAGTGGCTATCTATTTTACATTTAAATAAATCATGCAATAAAAATAAAGTAAAAATTCTTATAGTTAACAATGAATAAAATGTCACATTAATAAAAAAAGTTGAAATCATTCACCCACTTGTCATTAAATAAAAAAATAATTTTTAATTATAAAATTATTATTAATTTGAATGATTTTTTCATAGCAATATACTTATTCTTGATATGAATAATTTTTAATATAATATTTAAATAAATATTTTTTAAGGTGCAGCATTTTAATAATTTTTTGATTGTTTGACAGTACGTTGGTAGCAAAGCCACAGAGATACCATCGGATCGTCAATTCTGGGGTTAGGAATGTGTATATATATATCAAAAGCAGAGACTATTAATCGGACCATGCGGGGATAGCTTAGCCATAGCCTTATAGGAAGAGGATGAGTCGATGAGTGATGGTTCTTGCCAAAAAAGTTGCTGTCAACTATCATCACATATTCCACGTGGCACATCACCGTTGCGTAGCTACTCGTAAAAGGTCAATGTTAGCGGCTTCGTTCCGTGTTTCCTTGGCCTTCCCCCTCTTGCCACTAATTGTTCATTGTTTTAATTTTCATACAAATCCTTTCCTTTAATTTAGTCGGTGACAACCATATCATCAATCTCTCACGTGTACTCCTCCTCTATTACTGAACACACACACACACACGCGCGTGTACTACTCCTGTGTCACTAACAATATTCTTTTTACATTCATCAACATTCTTCTGCTTTTACTCTCCCATTTAAAAATATAAAATATTTTTTAAAAAATTAAATATTTAAAAATATAAAATATTTTTAATTTTTTAAAATATAATCATTATTTTTTTAAAATTTTTTTTATTAATGGTGACCTTATATTTATTATAGGATAGTTAATAAGAATAAATATAAAAAGATAGAATTAGTTTAAAAGTAAGTAAGAATTTTATTAAAATAAAATTTTATTAAAAATACCTTATATTTTTAAATAGAGAGAGTACTTTTTATTACTTTTTACCTGCTTTGCAAAATAATATGAGATACTACCAATCTAAATTTATAAAATAATTTTAAAAATATTTTTTATTTTAAAATATAAGATCATTTGAAAAGATAAAATTTTATTAATAATATTTTTTAATGTTACTTTCTAAATAAATAGATAATTAAAATAATATTATAGCATAATGATTAATTATATTAGAACTTTTTAAGAGTTTATAATTTATTTTTTAAAAACTAAATTTATGAAATATTATTATTGTATTTTATTAATATATGTAATACTATTTAAAATTATTTTATAATTTGAGAAAGAAGAAATACTATTTTTCATATTAAAAAATATAAAATATTTTTTAAAAAATTAAATGTTTAAAAATATAACAGTTTTAAGATTTTAAGATGTAATTATTTTTATTTTTTTAAAGTGTCTCAAATAAATAAATAAATTTATATTTATTCTAAAATAAAATAATATTAAATAAAAATAAAAATAAAATAATAATATTAATTTAAATATAATTAATTATTTTATTAATAGATGAGATTCATATTTTATACTGTTGAAGGGATGGAATACACCAAACGTGACGAGATCCAGATTCCCCCCCCCCCCCAGATTTCAAAACAGAACCTTCCAACACTGTCGTTTTCCCGCGGGCCCCTGCTGGTTTTGGGTTTACGTGTCCCAACCATAGATTTCAAACAATGGTTAGAATAAACCGCTTTATAATGAAATATTGATACAGTGATGGAGAGCGAGCCTGATTTATTAAGATTTTTTGAAAAACAAAAACAAAAATCAAATCTTATTCCCCTATGAAAATCAAAATTAAAATATACCGCACGAAGAATTGCTCTTGGTCTGATCGCACCAGCACTTAATCTAAAGCTGCAATAATATTGAAAATGACAGTTACTGTTGCTAAAACGGTAATTTAAAAGGTTCGTTGCGACTTGGGAAGCCAACCCGACCAAACGTCGTCTCTTTCCTTTCCTCTGCATGCTTCGTCATGTTACTTCCCTCCACCTTCCACCATCGTGTCTCTGCCCTTGTCTTTCTCCTCTGTTTCGTCGGAGTCAACTCTGATGAACCAGAACGTCAACTTCTACTACACCTTAAAGCAGCTCTTCAGGCGTCAAATCCCAGCGTGTTTGTCACGTGGAATGCTTCTAATTCAGTATGCAGCTTCAACGGAATCACGTGCAATCCAGGCGGTTCGGTGACCGGAATCGATCTCTCCGATAACATGCTTGCTGGTTTTCTTCCTTTCGACTCCATTTGCCAGCTCCAATCGCTCGAGAAGCTCTCGTTTGGGTTCAATTCATTGCATGGAAACATCTCTCAGGATTTGAGAAACTGCGTCAAATTGAAGTACTTGGACTTGGGCAATAATATTTTCTCTGGGCCATTCCCTGACATTTCTCCTCTCGCCCAGTTGCAGTATCTATATTTAAATCAAAGTGGCTTCTCTGGAACTTTCCCATGGAAGTCACTGCAAAATATGGCGAGTCTGGAGGTGTTAAGCGTCGGAGATAACCCCTTTCACCTCACTCCTTTTCCTTCTGAAGTTGTGAACCTCAAGAAATTGAAATGGCTATATCTGTCAAATTGCACTCTTGGTGGGAAAATACCAGCAGGGATCGGTAACCTCACAGAGCTCATGAACTTGGAATTTTCCGACAATTTTATATCTGGCGAGATTCCTTCAGAGATCGGCAAGCTTCGAAAACTATGGCAGCTTGAGATGTACAACAATTCGTTCACCGGGAAACTTCCATATGGGTTAAGAAACCTCACAAGGTTAGAGTACTTCGATGCGTCAATGAATAATCTGGGAGGCAATCTTTCTGAGTTGAGGTTCTTGACTAATCTGGTTTCTCTGCAATTATTTGAAAACGATTTTTCCGGGGAAATCCCTCCGGAGTTTGGTGAATTCAGAAAGCTCGTGAACATTTCGTTATACAGAAACAGACTGACTGGTTCTATTCCTCAAAAGATTGGATCTTGGGCTGAGTTCGATTACATCGACGTGTCCGAGAATTTCTTGACGGGTCCTATTCCTCCAGACATGTGCAATAAGGGGAAAATGCACGAGCTGCTCGTACTTCAGAACAAGCTCACCGGCGAAATCCCGGCCACTTATGCTAACTGTTTGTCTCTGCGTCGATTCAGAGTGAGCAATAATTCTCTCTCCGGCGTCGTACCTTCTGGAATTTGGGGGTTACCAAACGCTGAAATTATCGATATTGAATTGAATCGCTTGGGAGGTTCAGTTACTTCAAATATCGAGAATGCGAAGACGTTGGCTCAAATATTCGCTAGACAAAACCTCTTATCCGGTGAAATACCAGAAGAGATTTCAAAAGCTACCTCCTTGGTGACCGTTGACTTGGGCGAGAATCAAATTTCTGGGAAAATCCCAACGAGTATTGGTGAGCTTAAACAATTAAGCAGTCTAAATTTACAGAGTAACAAGTTATCTGGCCCAATCCCAGATTCTCTGGGTTTGTGCGTATCCCTCAGCGACATCAACCTATCTCAAAATTCACTTTCGGAAAAATGCCTTCTACTCTGGGATCTTTACCAGTCCTTAATTCTCTGAACCTGTCAACAAATGAACTTTCTGGCGAAATTCCGGCGAGTTTCTTGCGACTCCGATTGAGCCTTTTTGATTTATCAAACAACAAATTAGCCGGTTCAATCCCACAAGGTCTGTCTTTTCAAGCTTACAAAGGAAGTCTTGATGGAAACCCCGGTCTCTGCACCGTGGACGTCAATGTCACCTTCTTCAAGCCTTGCTCTGTACATTCCGACATTCCCAGACATATCCGCACATTCCTCGTTTGCTTCTCAATAGGCTTAATCATGCTTCTCCTCTGTCTGAGCCTTTACTGGCAACTAAAGAAGAAGGAGGAATATCGAGAACGCTCTCTAAAGGAAGAATCTTGGGATATAAAATCCTTCCACGTGCTAAGCTTCACAGAGGATGAGATTCTAGATTCCATCAAGCAAGAGAATCTCATAGGAAAAGGAGGCTCCGGGAACGTGTACAGAGTCGCGCTCTCCAACGGCAAAGACCTCGCCGTTAAGCATATATGGAAGACCGACAGCGGCGGTCGGAAAAGGAGCCGGAGCAGTGCTCCTATGATCGGGAAACGCGGGGAAAAATCAAAGGAATTTGATGCGGAAGTTCAGGCATTGAGCTCAATAAGGCACGTGAATGTGGTGAAGCTGTACTGCAGCATAACAAGCGAGGATTCGAATTTATTGGTGTACGAGTATATGCCCAATGGGAGCTTGTGGGATATGCTTCACACTAACGAGAAGATGCAGCTGGATTGGGAGACAAGGTACGAGATTGCCGTGGGAGCAGCGAAAGGGTTGGAATACCTCCATCATGGGTGCGAGAGGCCCGTGATTCATAGGGATGTGAAGTCCAGCAACATTTTGTTGGATGAGTTCTTGAAACCCAGGATTGCAGATTTCGGACTAGCTAAGATTGTCCAAGTCAACGCGGGCAAAGATTCTACTCATCTAGTTGCTGGAACTCATGGCTACATTGCCCCCGGTAAGTTTTATCTTGACAGTTTTTACTTTATTTCCTAGTTTTAGCTTATTGCTATGAGATATGAAGAGTCTTAGCTTGGAAAAAATGTTATGGTGCAGAATATGGGTACACGTACAAGGTGAACGAGAAGAGCGATGTATATAGCTTTGGAGTGGTGTTGATGGAGCTGGTGACGGGGAAGAGGCCGATAGAAGCTGAATTTGGGGAGAACGAGGACATAGTGAGCTGGGTGAGCAGCAAAGTGCAGCAACAAAACAGGGAGAAGATAATGGGAATAGTGGACTCAAGAATCCCACAAGTGTACAGAGAAGAGGCGATGAAGGTGTTGAGGATAGCTATTATGTGCACGGCCAGGCTGCCAGCATTGAGACCCACCATGAGAAGTGTGGTTCAGATGCTGGAGGATGCTGAGCCTTGTAAGTTAATTGTGGTCACCAAAGATGACTCTGCCAAGAAGCTGCAGATCCATGAGGCTGCAAAGCTTTCTTGAGAATTTTGGGTCTGGACAATACAGCACTGTACAATATTTGACTCTGGAGTTAGTCGTAGCCAAGTTTGGAGAAACCCAGGAGGGTGAAATTAGAAAATAGGACTTGCTGATAATAAAAGGAACTAAAGGATGGATCCGAGTTAGATTGTGTTTCAACTATGAGCATGGGTTGTAATATAATGCATTTTAATCAGCTAGTCACGTAAATCTTTAAAATCCTAATCCATGGTCTCTTTCTCTGTCTCTCCTCGGATCTGCATGAGTTCTCTGTTGATCAATGTTACTGTTATTTGACTTGTGATCAAACAACCCCCTGGGCCTCAATGTTCGTGCCGGCATGTCCACAGGGCCTGTGCAATCGTCAATTATCAGTATCATCAACATATATCGTAAAGCACGTTCAAAGCACTGTACTTTTCTCCTCTCTTTTTTTTTTTTTTTTAAAAAATTAGTTAGTGAATAATTTTGTTAAAATACACACACACACATATATATATACATATATGTATGTATGTATGTATATTGTGGGACCCATGATAAAAAAGTGGATGTAGGACTTGTCATTAAAATTGAGTGTGGGCCTATATTTGTAAATTTTAAAATTTAAACAAGATATAAAAAATAATAAAATTTTTATATTTTAAAAAATCATTGGTATTTTACTATATATATTGATACATCAAGAGTGATATTTTACTCCAACAATTATCAATTAATGGTTAAATAAATATAAATGAAAACATAAAAATAAAAGATACGTTGTATATTTTGTGATTCTTAAAATAGAGGCGAAAGTAATATATTTTATTTTAAAAATGTTAAAATAAATTTTTAATATTTATTTTTATTTTTATTTTTTAAAATTAAAACATTCCTATGCATCATACAAGGTACAAATTTAGTTAATTTGGATTGGGTGTTACACAATTAGTAATATATTAAACTTAAAAGAGATCTGCTACAAGTGTCAAGTGTTTAAAATAGAACCTAAGTTTAAATCCATCAAAAACTAAATCCACAATGTTAGGCCACAATACATTGAAAATACTAAATTACTCCATTTCAATTCTTTTACACATTTTATTGAACACATTGAGTGCATTAAAGCTTAAACTACAATATCAAGCTTCTTCCTCTTCACCCCTTCCCAAAAGTTCCCAACATCCGTATTTTAATTAATCAAGCATTCCTAATTTAGTTGGCCCTAATAAGCTCGAATATAACTTAAGGCTCTATTGTAATGTCCAGCCCTAGCCCTTAAGAGTAAAGGGTTGACTTTGCGAACCTCAACCTTAGTTTTTTTAATTTAAAAACATAAAAAACCTAGTTGTAATCTTAAAAAAGGTTATTATATATAGGATTAAGTTTAACTCAATACACACCATAACAAGCATGTAAAGCTTAAATATCAAGTCTAATATCAAATAGGGATATTAAAATTATTATCAATAAAATTTATACTTTACTGGTATCATCAACTAAATTTTAATGAATGAATGAGGAGTGAAGAAATGAATTTGGGGTTTAAATTCTTTTAATTAGATACTTAGTATTTTATTTTTTCATATTAAAATTTTTTAAAAAATAATAAAAGGGCTTACAAGGGTTGGCCTTAGTTTTAAAGAGTCAATTTTATTTTTTGGAGCTTAAATTATTATTTGTAATCTTGAAATAGTGGCTTGACTTTGATCAGACTTAAAAAGGCTAACCTTATGGATTTAACTTTACTTGATAGCTCTACGTGAAAACTTAGGCCATTATAGAAGGAATTCGAGCCGTTTTGTTCTTCTAGGCGTTTACCCAGAGATTAGCCCAATATTTTTCATAAAAAAAAGGATTCAGACTATGAAAGTGATAATTATATGCTCCTAAAAGAAATTCAATAGTTAAATAATCTATGTTAACAAATATTTTATTTTTGTTCCTTTTTTCTATTTTCAGGAAACTCGCTGTGTGTTTTTTAAACATGTGTTAATTCTACAATGAACAATTTAAAATTTATCATAGTCTTTTTATCGAAAGAAGAGAAAGCGTCGCAGTACTTTTGAGTTTTCAACACTGGACACATCCTCTAACTCTGAATTAGACCCGAGAAAATGGGTCAAACTTGTTGAGCCTACCTATTTAAGTTTGTATAATAGGAGAGCTAGGCTTACAATTAAAACCTCAAAATGGAAAACGATCTCAAACGGATTGGTCCATTTAGGCCTTAATTTAAACAGGCTGGCCCTAATGGGCCGAGGGCTAGCCCGTTTAAGCCCTTATGATTTTTTTAATATCATGGACTGATGAGTGAAAGACCAATGGGCTTGACAAAAATTGTGTGAGTTGGAGCTCATATTTACTAAAGGACAGAAGGAGGAAATTTAAAATAAAAAACCAACCCTAATCTAAATCTTGTTCACTTTTTGATTTTCGTGCATAATGCATCGTCTTTCACTCTTTTTGGCTGAGCTGCTAACTAGCTGAGGCTGTGGAGACAATTAGACAACAGTGAAGTGAGGCTCTCATCTCTAAATCTTCTTGCTCAGTCGTTTTCACCTTGCTCTCATCTGAGTGTGGGGACCAGGACAATGAAGTTGCGGTTGTCAGTTCATCACACTCTCATCTCCATTGTTGACATCCATTGCTGTAGCCGCCTCTGCTGTTGATCGTCGTCCAATCTACATTCCACGCTGCTAGCTATCATGTTTTTTGCACAGCTCGCCATCATCCGACCTCCCTCCTCAGCTCGAAATCAACGTTCAAAGGCCGTAGCTCTAACCCTCATTGTGGTGCCGACCTTCCACCATCTTGCCGTTGTCGTTAAGGTCGTGCATTGGTGTATTTTTACCGTTAGTTCAAACACAAGTTCACCAATCACCAAGGCCGAAGACTTCTCCTCTTTTGCTTGCGTGATCTCCGTTCTTGTGAAATCACAAAGCTGTACTATGCTGAGTTCTCTGTTCTTGAGTTCACAAAGTTCTCATTCATCAGTGCTGTGCTGTGCTCGTACTCTTCGACCTTCCCTCATTCATTGAATCACACAAAATTACTCGCACAGTTTTGAGCTTTCTCCTCTTTTGCTGGGGCATTTGGGTGTTTTGTTCTAGCTTTAATTTGTGAGTAATTTTTTTCCTTTTACTTTGATGCAACGCAATAGGTAAACAGTATTTGAAATTTACAATGTCTGTCTCACAATCACACATGTTCACTTTCAACCTAGAGTCTTGAATCACTTCCGGCTAGACCGGCAACAGCGAGACCCTAATTATAAAAAACGACCAAATAAATTGTACCCAAAAAAATTAAATACATTCCACTAGTCAACGCCAACACATGTCCATATAAATATGGGCTGCCTGTAGACCCCACATTTGGGCCGTACCCAACCATCTGTGGCCTTTCAACATGGGCCTGCCTTATCCTTACGGTAGCCCAAAATGAAACTCAGACCCGTGCCATCGATCATCTTCTCTGCACCAAAACATCCAATTTATTGTGTTTGTCACAAATCGCATCTTAAGGCTGGACACGAGGCTCAGTTGGGCCTGTAATTAAATTCACGGCCCATTGGATAGTGATCCTTTACTGGGCCTGAATTAGATAGTTTTGTGGGAAATTGATGGAGTTGGGAAGATGTCAATCCCCCAGACTTTTGGCTCTTTGGGTTTGTATCTTTGGGATTTAATCCCTTCTTTTTAAGAAAAAAATCAGGAAAATGTCAAGATGTGTATATAATTTTAATTACATCCCCTCATCCATATTTTATTAATTTTAAATCATATATAATAATATAATTTTATAATTGGACACGTGTGATCAGAACTATTATTTTAATTTTCCCTCACCTATGCCATATTTTTACTGAAAAAATTTATAAATGTTGGGTTTAGTCAAGCCTGTAGCACGAAGTTGCTGCCGCCGTACGTAACATTAACAAAATATTAACGGCTCTTCTTGGTTATTGCAAAGAGATTGATATATTTGAATGTAATATAATTTTCTGTTAAAAAATAATAAGAAGTTTTAGCGTTTCAAAATGTAATAATATGTTTTTTTTTAAGTGCCCATAATAAATAAATCTTTTTACATTTATTTTAAAACTAAACATCATATTAAATAAAGGTAATTATAAAAATATGATATTATTTTAAAACTAACAAACTATTTATTGAATGGTGAGATTCAATTAAAATAGCATACAATTTTTTTAACGGGGTGTAATTAGTATCACCTAACTTTGTTTGGCAGACCATGTAAAATATTTGATTTTTTTACTTTTAAACCATGCTGGAGAAGATTAAAAGGACTGAAATGCCCCTCCATGGTGAATTGTGGTTGGTGGAGGAGGACAATAGATGGCGGTGGTAAAAAGTGGTCACCATTAGAGGATAATGGCCGATTTAGGGGGAGGAAGCCAAGCGTTGACTGCAACGGATGGTGGTCAACAGCAAATGAAAAGGACGATGAATGGTTGACAGCAAAGGATATAGCTGCATGTATGTATCGTAAATAAGGATGATCATCGATGAAAGAGAGAGGTGGTTGATGGTAAGAAAAGATATACAACTAAACATGTCTGGTGTAGTGATATTAAAAACTTACGTTACATAACCAAGTGATACATGAAGCCGAAAAGGCCGCTAGGAAATTTTAATTTCAAGTTGAGTTGAAGAAAATAATTTTGGAAAGGTTTAATTCCACCTTTAAGAAGGACCATTATTTGCAATACAAATTTTCACCATAGGGTTATAAATTTCAAATAACTTGATTTATAGTGATAGTTTTCCTCACATCATGAATAAAAATACAAACTCTCGTTGTGATTATCCTGAAGCATGCTAGTAAATATCTTGGCCTTGTAGAGGGAAAATGTTAGTAATAGTAGTGGGATAGAAGAGTTTGCTCACTTTTGAGAAGCCATAGATTACGGGGTCAAAACAAAGCAAAGATAAAGATTACAGTTTATGTTGAATATATATGGCAAACTTTTAAAATATATAAGATGACAAACTTTTGAAGTTACTTAATAATTAGCGAATTATTCAAGCAATACGAGAAACATTACCCAGCATGACACCTGAAAGAATAGCATTATTCTCCATTTTATTATGAGTGCAGTATCAGTATCACGGAGCAGTGAGAAGAAAAATAGTTCACCATTATGACCCTTACCTCTTCATTCTAAGCCACATAACTTGTTTCTCCATTACTGCTAGCTAATAACTATAATATATTATATGCCCCCATCTTTTCTATGT